CCCTGGACTTATGTTCTTTTTCTTCTGAAGGACGGTGCCCCTGACTGGCCTGACTGGGCAAAGGGGGAAGGCAGGACTGTGTGTTGGTGCGTGTTTTAAATGGTGGGTGTTTTAAAGGGATTTCGAGATTTAAGAGCAACATTTAGCCATTAATCAAACCTGGATAACTTTTGAATAAATGGTTCCTTTCCTTTTCACCAAACTCTGCCATCGAGAGCCGTAATTCCAAGAGCAGCAGGCAAAGGACCTACAACCGAGGGACTCTGGTGAAGCAGGAGGAGGCGTTGTTTCAGTAATGACTTCTGGGCACCCCCTCCACGGATCCACTGTTCTGTAACACAAGACAGAGAGGAGGACCTTTGGTACTAGGTGAGCCCAATGCAGGCAGTGAGGGGGCGCACCGCCTAGGAGCTGCAAAGGCAGAAGTGGTGAGTCAGAGGGGGGAGTATGGGCCCTGCCAAGGGAGCTGCTGATGAGAGGCCCTGGCATAGGGCGAGGGGATCTCCAAAGGTCCCTGGAAGTGCCCCAGGCCAGAACGAGAGAATGACACCTGGCCAGACCTAGGCAGGGAGGCTGGTTTAGGACAGCAGCCATCATGAGTAAGATTTTCACCACCCTGCCCTCCTGCCCTGCCACCTTCTTCCTGCCCAGCCCTGGGGCCAGACCAGGAGGCAGCAATTAGTCACGGCTTTGGCTCCTATAGGAGATGGGTTTTTCCTAATCTTACAACTGGAATAGCATATTTGGCAACTTAAAATGATTATAAGGCTTCTTTATGATCCAAGCACGCTCAGCAGTCTTGTGCTACCCTAGGCTAAGTTCTCATCCAGGAGCAGGGGAAATGTTCTCCTCCTGACGACGTCTTGAACTGTGGAAAGCAAACGCTGTGATTCTACCCCTGAAGTCAGGCCAGTTCAGCTTACGAAGGTGGGGCAGGGCCAGCTCACCCTGGCACCCCCAAGTCTGGAACTGCGGCTCAGAGCAGGCATTCTTCGGTGAATGAATGAAGGCATTCATACCTTCCTTGCCTGAACATGCTCTGACCTTAGGTCACCTACACATCAGCCCTCCCTCCTATAACCTTCTCATCTCCAAACTCATCTTCTTGATGAAGGTCCAGCCCTCTGGGACCTGGGACCTTAGTTAACCTGAGCCAGTTCTTGTCACTTGCAACCAAAAGGGCTAGACACGGATCCCTGATCACCCCTCTGTCAGCCTTCCCTTCCAGATGTTCCCACTCCTCTCGTGTTGTGAAATAAAATAGGAAAATCAATACTATCCCCACGTATGACAGTCTAGTTAGAAACTGTAACAGATGGGCAAAGGACATGAGCAGATGGCTCCAGAAAATGACCCACGAATGATTTCTACAGATGAAAACAGGCTCAGCCTTGCTCCAGCAAAGGAATGCAAACTGCAAGGCTAGCTATCAACACAGCCAAGATCAAAGGGTCGATTGGCGCTCCGCATGGGCAATCCTACTCCCGGGTGGGAATGCCAGTCGATACTTCTTCACAGGAGAATGTGGCTAAGATGTTTTAGCACTCTCCACTAAGAGATTATTATCACCGGGCAAATAACATTCAAAACAGCGATGCAGGAAAGAAATACAAGGGACCCATAAGTATCCAAGAAAAACGCTCACCACTACTAGAATCAAAAACCAGCTGAAACAAGATGTCTATTTTCTTTTCTTTTTGAATTGTCAAAGTTAAAAATTAAATTACCCCCACTCTCACCTGGGGCCAGTGAAGCAGGCTCTCCTGTATCAATCAATGGCTGACAGTGAAATTCCTGCCATTTTTTTGGAGGGTAGTTTGGAAATCTGTTTGAAGAACCTTAACCACGGTCAGCTCAGAGATGCATGAACAGATTCATGACTAAGGCGGCCCATTATAGCACTGCTTACCATTGTGAAAACTGGAAATACTCCACAGTATTATATAATGTTTATTACAGATTTTTAAAAAACCTTTAACATGTCGTAGTTCCTCTCCATCTCGCCTGATTAGGATGTGATCGTGTGCATTAGCTGACAACTACGGACGCGTGTGGGCTCTTTATTTTCTCAGCCTCCTGGCATTTTGAGCGGTGGCGTTTCCTAAGTAAACAGCACGGCACATCATGAGAGTATTTTATCTGCCCTCAACTGCATTCTAGTTCTCAACTTACGGAGATGGCACTACAGGAGTATTTGGAAGGCACTGTCCTAGGTGATAAGAAATATTCTAAATTGTCACAGTGAGCATATAGCAGCAGCACCACTAGCACGAAAACTCCCAGGCACCCTTGAGGGTGGAGGGAGGGGCAGCAGAAATTCTCATTCAGCTCCAGGGAGCTGGGGGGCGGGCATCTCACCCAGAGCTTTCCCACCCCAGGGCCAGTTCTGTTCTGCCCCTCTGGGGCTGTCCTGGGGGTCAGAAGTCTGGAATCAACCCTCCAGGTCCAGAGAGTCAGAAGGCCATTACTGGGCCACTCACACTGAGCCCAGACAAGGGGTGGGGCTGGGGGGGGGGCGCGGGAGGTAGGAGGGGTGGGGAGAGGGGGCAATTCAGAGAACTGCAGAGAGAATGCCCAGGTTTCGAGCAAGACAGATGGTCAGTGGAAATGTACTGTATAGATACTCTCATTTTACACACATAACACAGTTGGCATTTTCTTGATCATTTGAGCGCTGTGAAAGTATTCCAAAGGGCGTCCCTAGGACCACAGCCTGGATCTGTTCTCCCACTTCCTAGGGTGGTGAGAGGCAGGAGAACTGCCAGCAGCACAGCCCTCAGAACTGAGAACACCCTACTGCAGGTAAGCCGAGGGGCAAGCGCGTTGTCTACACCTGACACTCCGTTTACTAACCCACCTGAATAAGGCAGAGGAGGGGGGAGATGGAGGGTGGAAAAGGCCTGCCACAGGAAGGGCTTTTTCTGCACTCTACCGAGCTGGCACTGCTTCCTGTCACCCACCCAAACCACGGGTTCTGCAGGAGCCCAGCACCATTTCGCAGAGACTCTCAGACTCGGTAGTCCTTCTGCTACCAGGCAGGCAGGTCTCTGCTGGCTCTTCCTTCATTCTCTATCCCCAAGATTACCTTTGAAAGCCCATGGTCTCCCCCTCATTGAGACCGCTAACTTCTTTCAGTGGCAGTCTGGTGCACGGGCAATGCGTAGAGGTTCTTGCAGTCGCACTTCAGGGTGCACTGCCATCGGTCTGAGTGGCTGTGAACACCTAAGGATGTTGCACGGAGCACAGGCCTCTCCTTGGCAACCACTCCAGACAGCTGGGTCTGGACTGTGGCTGCAGCCCTGCCGTGCAGGCCTAGCCGGTCTTCCTCCAAGCCTCTCAAGTGCTGGCACCTTGCTTTGCCCCCACCCCCGTCCAAGAGAGCCTGTGCAGTGCAGATGAAGATGGAGGGAGGTCAAGCGGCTGGCCCAAGCTCACCGTAGGAGTAGGTGGAGGGACGCCTACTGAACCCAGATCCACGTCCAGAACATGGCATTTAACTTGCGGGGGGCACCCGCTATGTGTTTGGCACTGTAAAGTCATCGGGCATCACAGGCCTGTCTTGGGGCATTGAAAACTTACAGCATTGGACCCCGATCTCCCCCAGTTCTCAAAGGCAGGCAACAAATGACAGCAACACAGCTAGCCTCCTGAGTTTTTCTTTTCTTGGTTTATTTTTAGTTACTTTTTTTTTTTTTTTTTACAATCCTCAGTGGCCAGGTTTCCTTAATAGGGACCAACAGCAACGTCCCACGTTGTCTGGACCTCCAACGGTGAGAATGAGACTACGCAAGTCACAGAGGAAACTCACCCCAAGCCAGGGGTCCAGGCGCTGGTGCAAGTGGGAGGCAGGGCCTCAAACTGACCAGAGCCTGGGGGCGTTGTTTTTCAGAGCAGGACAATTTTTTGACAAATGTGGACATTTTAGAGTGACTTGGTTAAATAGAGACGTGGCTAAAAGAGCCACGGTGAGCACAGCCAGGATCAAGCCCCGTGTTCCTGCCGCTCCCTCCCCCTTCCCAGCCCAGCCTGGGGGCGGGGCGCAGGGGCAGCATCTCCGGGGCAGCAGTGGGGAGGGTTTCCTCTCGGAATTCGCATTACAGAAAGGCAGAAGCTGCTAAAGCGCAGGTGAACATACCACAACTTTTTTATAAAAGCATTGGAAACGAGAAGATAACTCATTACATACATTCATTTTGGCTTAGTTCCCCTGTTGAAACACGCGGATGTAGTCAAAGCTAACCACGGACTGTTGTGGCTTCTGAAAGGCAGGAGCACCATATTTTAGCACCGTTTATGCACAGGCATTTTTCAATATATAAAACTCTTAAAGTTAAGTACAAAATTATTTTGAAGCTCATGATTTAAGTCCAACCACTGGGAAAACGACTGCTGAGCCCATGGTGTTTCAAGCTCCGGACCGTTTTTTTTTTTCATTGCGCCTGTTTCACAATTTCATCCCTGACCCAGACTTACATGTAAGAAATCAACAAGACGGAGTTAAAACTCCAGTCAGTGTTCTTCATTAATAGCTCTATTAATGAGTGTTCAAAATTTAAATATACATGTGGCCATAAGGCCTGAGAACAGACATATACAATTAACCGTTTGTTGACATGACATTTCAATACAATGACTTAATGGCCACCCTGTGTAATTATACATGCTAACCCACCGCACCATTCCCAGTCATACATTTCAATTTATCCTACCCAATTCTGATGGACCCCCTGCTGCGGCACCTCCTGCACCTACGCAAGTCACCACGTGACCGCAGACCAGCGCGCATGCACACGCACGCGCACGCACGCACGCACACACAGTGCTCACGCCCCTCCTGGGCATGGCCAGCCCGCCTCACCCCCAGTGCTACTGCCGGCAGGGGTGCTTGTCGTGGCTCCAGGTTATAAACGAAATTACAGACCCCTTAAAATCAGTTGCCCCCCTCCCCCCGGCCGTCTTTATTCTCTGTACAACTCAGCACTGGCGCCCTGGTCTCCCCACCCCCTCAGAAATCACCAGTGAAGGTCTCCCAAGAGTGTTAAGCAATTAAATGTTACCCTTCTGTTCCATGGGGACTTAGCAAACCTTAGGAAAAGGGATTTGCAGAATCCATGCACAGAAATTCATCCTTCGTCCTTTTTAAACTTAAGCCCAGGAGGTCCTGTCAGCATCTGCTGTTTAGTCTCAGTGGCTTTTTTCATCTAAAAATCAGTCCTTTTTCAATTCACTTCTTACAGTCCTTAGGCCATGTTTAAATTACTTGACACTGTGCCCTGCTTCTGCTAAACTATTCGGGGACTCCAGGCCTTCCACACACATTTCAGATTCACTTCACACACGCAGGCTTCCTTTCCTATTGTTTTTTAAGTAGTCACAAATCTCTTTAAAAAGGCATTTGTTTTTATGTAGGCCTACAAGTGAGATTCCCTGGAGGTTTATACTTCTGAAAGTATTTTCTGACTTTCGAGGGGGGAGTACCTGCAAAGTCCTGCTTAAGAACGAGAGGAAAGAAAAGACTTTATTTTAACATCAAAAAGGAGACACAGCCAAGAGTCCCACAGATATGCCGGAAGGTGAGAGTGCTAGGTCATTAAATGCAACACAGCACGTCACCACTGTCATCTCGAAGGCCTTCAAAAACTAAACTACACGCTCACAGGCACAATAGCACCTTGGGGTGAGGGGCTGAGCAGGAGGAATAACACAGCCTCTTAGAAAAAAGGAAAAAAGAAACAACAAAGGCACACAACCCAAAAAGGTCTTTTCTCCCGCCAGAAGTGTTAGCCTCCCATGGCCTGAGATTTCATCTGACAAGATCTAGAATTGGAGGGGGAAAGACTCATGAAAGAATATAAAGGTACTGTCTTCTCTAATCAAAGAAAAGCTTCATCGGGCATTAACTGAACATGTAACGGTATAATAAAATGTAAATGGCTATATAAGGAAAGCAGGGTCAATCTTGGTCTGCGCATTTAAAACATTTTCAGATAGGCAGTACTCGGAGGAGGAGAAACTGCGAACATTTCCAACCAGATTCCACCTGTGCCTAGACTGCAAGTGAAAAGACCACACACTGGTCGTTCTCAGCCGCCGGACCACTGCGCCATCACCGTTCCGTGTGTGACTGGAATGAACGGACGCTGCACATGCAAGAGTAGCTGAGCAGGTGAGCGGCGGCTCCGAAGGGGCAATGTTAATTTCATGCTAACTGTTAGATGGAAATTCTTGGTTTTAAGTGCATCTACAATGAGCTCAAAGGTGTAAGTCATGCCTGCTTAGGGTAGAGATCTTTCCGCCAAAATCACAGGGTCCAAAACCTCTGGACTCTTGCAATAAAAGTCTGGGATTGAAAGGAAGCACAGGACAGGTCCCACTGACCTTACTCCGAGAATAGTTTGATCATTTTAGAGGGCCCTGAATCCATTTTGGTTTCAATTCAATTTCTAGTCTGCTCATGTCACCTGATCAGCCCAAGACCAGGAATGAGAACTGGAATTAGGACTCTGGGTAACTGAAGTTACATGTTGCAACTAAATGTTATTTTGAAAGTTGGCTAATCATCTCTACATCCTGAGGGCTGTTTCACTGGAAGCTGTGCTTCTCTTATGCTATGATTCCTCTAAATCTGGATAACAGTCTGAAAGCAGAGTCATATTGGACTTGGGATGGAAAGTAACTTAGTCATTCTTTTACCTTTTTTTCAGTGTGGTAGTCAAGACCCCAATTTCTGCACACAATCATTGGTGGAAAAAAGAGTTCTTGTGCTGTCACGAGAAAAAGAATTCCTTGAGACCTGCACAGGAGGATGCAGCTCCATGCTGAACTTTATTGATGATGTACAATTAAGGGGGCTCCCCTCCTATCTTCTCAATGTCTAATTCCCTTTTGCTCCCCTTTCCCAGCTAAATGCCAATGGTAACAGTTAAGACCAAAATTTCGGCACACTCTAACCACATCATATACAACAAGAGAAGAGTATAAAATGTAAACAATTAAGTTGCCCAGAAGTCCAGTTCAAGTTCACTGAGATTATTTTCAAAATTCAAAGACAGATGACCACGAGTGTTACTATGATGAGTATCATGAAATTCAACAGCAGGTATGAACAAACGGTCAGATGAACACAGAATCCTACTGCCTCGTTCAATCTAAATGTTTTAAGTCACGCTTTTAAAAATATTTAAGAATGAATGATACGTATTTCCTGTTACATTACAAATACTAAAATAAAGCATCAAAGCCAAGAAGAAGTCATTATTATTACTTGAATTTGGCTTCTAGGCACCTCCTGTCCAAGGCACCATTGTATTTCACAGTGAAAAACACAAGCCCCTCCAATTCACACACATTTAGAGCAGAATTTGATTCAATCAGTTAGCATCACCAAAATGTGGTGATTACAGATGAGGTAATGGGGAAAATACTAATGTAGCAGTTTGCATAGTTTTGTGTATCCTGTGAGTTTTCTCAACTAAGAATTTTAATTTTTAAGTGAAAGGAAAACTTAGATTAAAAGAAAAAGATTGCCCCCCTGAAACACAACAGATTAGTTTATAAACTTTATTAAATTGAACCAAATAAAGATTTAAGTTATTCACAACTAAAGCTCAATACTTCTGGGTAACACTACCTCCACAACGCTCGGGCAACGCAGGTGCCGCCGGTACAGCCGGAGGGGTGTGTCTGGCTCCTGGGACAGCGTCCGCAGTCCACGTCTCCCATGGGTGATTCGGGCCCTAAGGCCGAGCGGCCTCAGCCAGGCTGCCCGTGAGCACCAGCTGCCAGAACGCCAGCCTGCAGCCTCACAGGCATGCTCGTGGGTGGCCGGGTACACTGCCTCCCTCAGGCTTCCCAAACCCAATCCAGGGCAGATGCAGCTCAGCCACACTCCTGCACGCAGTCTAGTACACGCTCCTGTTCCACTCACTCAAGAGAAACCTCACACACTCTGCTGTTACTTGTCCCTACCAGCAGGTGACTCCCATGAATTCAGCAGCAAAAAAAAGGGGGGGGGGGCACAGGAAGACCTGGATCCAGCTCATCTTACCCCCGAAGTCACGTGAGTGCCTGCAGTCATTTGGCCTTGGTTTCCTCCTCTAAGAAAGCAGGTAGATCTAAGCTCTGTTCTGACTGTAATGGTGAACCTCTGGGCTGCAGAATAAACAACAGCTCTTGACACTAGAGCTCAGCCAACCCCAGGCAGCACCCGTCCGGCTCGCAGAGCACCACTCGCAGCCAGCGCCAGCCCGGTGTGTGCACAGCCTCAGGCACCTGTCATGTCCTCGGAGAGCAAAGATTTCCAGCTGCCATCACCTCCCTCCTGTTCCAGCGCCTTCTCCAGCCTTTAAATAGCTAACTTTTGGACCCAATTCTTAATCTTCTATTAAATAATCTGTCTAGAATAGATTTAATGAGTATGTAAATCCAAACCATTGCTTGATGGGACTACCAGAGGATGTTCAGCCTGTGCCATTAACAGACCCCGCCCCAGAATTATACAGCGTAAGCAGGCTGCGTAACAAGGGCGCCACAGAGACCTGTTACCACCAAAACAAAAAAAATCACTCTCTAAAAAACACTGAAAGCCAGTTTGGCTATTAGGGAAAGTTTGATTTGAGATATCAAGAGCGTATTCCTCTTCAAAATGAGTCTCTTCATACAAAAGTATGTTTTATGGAAAAGATATAGTCTGCACCTTCCAACAAGTGCGCTCTGAAGGCACCCGGTACAACGTATTGCTTTGTAAATGAGGGGAAAACTTGGATAACTCATTATCGGAAGCTAGTTTCCAGAATATCTCAGGCCAGCTTGGCTCACAGGGCGAAGAGTTCCCATAAGGCATCCATGAGCCCGCAGGCCGAGGCCCGAGCCGAGGAGCTGCCCGCACGCCTTGGCCCTGTTGCCAGCCTGTCCAGGTGCGAGGCTCTTACAGACTTGTCTCCTCGCACACTCGGACGGGGATGTTGTAGTGCCGATCGTCCTCAGCGATCAGGGTCACCACCGGCCAGTCCCCGGGGGGGTCTGTGGGGTAGACCGTGATGAACTCTTCAGTGCTATACTTGGAGAGCCGGTATACCTGGATGGTGTGGCGCACAGCATAGGCGAGAAGGAACATTTCAACCTGGGGGAGCAGAGCAAACGGGTAAGTGGAGGGCAGCCACCCCGAAAGACGCCGCTTACTACCTGCTCCATCTCAGGTGTCCCAGGCAGTGCACGGCATGGCTAAGCCAAAACCTTTCTTCTTCTCCATGGGCCCAGCCCCAGTCCTCCTTCACAGGGTCGTTATAAACAAATAGATCACCAAGAATGGATCGATGTCTGATGAGGGACTTGTAACTAGATTTTATAAAGAGCTCTTACAATAAACAAAAAACAAAAATCAACAATAAACTAAATGACCAGTTTAAAAATTAGGCCAAGGATCTGAATAGGCAGTTCTCCCAAGAACATATGCAAATGGTCAATATGCACATGAAAAGTCATCAGGAGGACTGGAAACCAAAACCACAGGGTGACACCCCTTCACACCCTTAGAATGGCTATGATGAAAAAGACCAATGACAAGTGGGAGTGTCTGCTTACCAGGTGTGTGCTTTTCTCTCAGGGTGATGAAATATTTTGGAACTTGATACAGGCAGTAGTCATACGACATTGTAAATGCACTAAAGGCCACTGAGCCACACATCTTAAAATGGTTATTTGTTATGTTATGTGAGCTTCACCTCGATAAAAAGAACTGCTGGCGAGGATGTGGAGAAATGATACTCTGAAACATTGCTAGTAGGAATGACAAATTATACAGTTGCTTTAAAAACCAGTTTGGAAGGAAAAGGGACTCATGGACATGGACAGAAGTGTGGTGATTGCTTGGGGAGGCGGATATGAGGATTAAATGGTAATAGAAAAAAATATAATAAAGATTATCTAAAAAAATAAAAAATAGTTTGGCAGTTCCTTTAAATTTTAAACAAAGAATTACCATATGACCCAGCAATTCCACTCCTTGGAATATACCCGAGTACTGAAAACATGTCCACACAAAAAACTTGTACATGAATGTTCATAGAAGGATTATTCATAATAGCTTAACAACCCAAATGCCCATAAACTGATGAATAGATGAGTAACATGTAATATACCCATACAACAGTATTTATGAATAAAAATGAAGAACTGACACATGGTGCAATATGCATGAACGTTGAAAACATTAAGCTATGAAAGAAACCAGTCACAAAAACCACATATTATATGATTGCATTCATACGAAACATCCATAACAGGCAAATCTACAGTGAGAGAATGTAGGCTGCGGCTGTCCAGGGCTGGAAAGAATGGGAGATGAATGCTCACAGGTATAAGGTTTCTTTTAAGGGCGATAAAATGGTCTAAAATTAGACTGTTGGGATGGCTGCAAAACTCTGTAAACGCACTAAAAACCATTGAGTTGCACACTTTAAAAGGGTAAACTTTATGGTAGGTTAAGTTATATCTCAATAGAACTGTTTTTCTTTTTAAATGGGCTCTCCATTACAGCAGACTTTGTGGAGACCCAGAAAGGCCTAACGTCAGTCTAATGTGCAAAACATGCCCTACCACGTTTCTCACTGCAAGGTGTTCGCTACCGTTCAGGAGGCGTACGTAACGTACACTACAAGTACAGATAATTTTAAAATAATTATCTTTAATCCTGCCTGACCCAGCATGACCATCATCTTTGTTTTTTCCTACAGACCAGAAAAGGCAAGCCAAAAAGTCAGCCATGGAAGTAGGAAGGTAGCACTTTAGAAGAATAGCCTTAATGCTACTTTAGTGGTTAGCTATTCAAAAACAAAAACAAAAACAAAAAAACAAAACAAAAACACCTAAGCTTTTTAGGGCAACGTAATGAATGCACCAAAGATAGAAAGTGCAACGTGAGTCAACTGTTGGCTCATGGGACAGCACTGCACCAGGTCTCTGTGTAAAACTCCAAACTTAGCGTATCTGTAAAAGATCCAAGCGCAGGCTGGGCTCTACTGGCCAAGTGACTCCATTTCTATTTTTAAAGGATGCTAGCTAATACAGCTACAGCTGCCAGGATTACACACGACCCTTCAAGTGACTCTTGCAAGTGCTTCTTGTATTTGCAGAGCCACAATTACTGATCCCGTCCACCATGCTGCAGAAGGAAGTCCAGGCTGAGACAACCGTGGTGGTTCTAAAACAGGTTCACAATTCTTTATCATGTTCTTCCCTTGAGTGCAGGGTGACCTAGTGACTTGCTAACAAATACTATATGGTGTGATTGCATGTGACTTCCAAGGTTAGAAACATTGTGGTTTCTTCCTCACTCTCTTGAATCACTCTCTGAGAGAAGCCAGTTGCCTGCTGTGAGGCCACTCAAGAAGCCCTATCTATACAAAGCCTCATGTGACAAGGAACTACTACCTACCTGGGAGGGAGTGAGGCCCCCTGCCCACAGCTAGATGAGGGAGCCATACTGGACACGGGTCCTCCAGCCCCGGTGAGGCCTCAGGTAACGGCAACCACCTGAGACACTCCAAGCCAGAGCCAGCCAACTCAGCTGTTTCTAAACTGCTGACTCACAAAAAGTGTGAGATAATGTTTGATGGTTAAAGCTGGTGTTTTGGGCTAATATAACTCACCTCAGAAATGTATAACTCACCTGTTCAAGGCCACCAGTGTGTCCCACCTGGTTTAGATGGTTTCTCAGTAGCTGTCCAGGGTCACTTGATGTGTCCCGAGCAAACAGAAGCACAGAGAAAAATGGTACCTCCTTTCCCCTCTCTTTATCATCATATAGTTCAATGGCTCTGTTTAGCATTAAAAATTTTACAGCTTCATAAAGGCTATATTCTTCCTCTTCATTTGTGAACAGTTCATCACAAGCTGTCTGTCTTGCTTCAGCAGTTCTCAGTTCAGCCAAGCCTGCCCACTGCATTAAAAAAAGTTACATAATAATTACATTTTTGTTCTAAAAGTCCCCGGTATACTCCCATACTACTAACACAAAATCATTTTCAAAAGTAGGTGTCCACAGGTCATGTACCAATGATCACAACATTCAAGTTTCCAGCTCAAACAATGGTACTACTCTTTAGGCCACACCAATTCTTCATTTAGCTTTTGCTCCATTAATTTGAACAAAAGTATAATGCACTAAGCAGAAACACTAGGACCAGGGAAAGACAATTTTGAATTCCTCATGTCCCAGGCAATGAGACTGAACCAGTCAATCAGAAATACTTGCGGAAGACCTTATGGGCGTGAGTGTGAGGCTTGGCTGTGAGGCTGGGCGGGGCAGCTAAGACGCTCCTCTCTGGAAGGGCCATCCAGGTGCAGCCTCCCGGGAACCCTAAGCCAATCTTCAAAGCTGAAGATGGGCAAAGATGATTATGGGGTCTCCTGGATATTAGTTTATAAACTTAACCTTCTAACCTCTTAAAAATATACATGAGTTTCAAATGCATAAATCCATTCAGGAAATTCTTATTGACTCCTGATTAAGAATAGAGCAATGCTACATATTCAGCTAAACTGGGCAAACTCTTTACATGCACAATAAAACCCCATAAATACATGTACTTTTAAGTTAAAGTAAATGAGAATAAAAGATGTTGACCTAAAACTAGCCCTTATGAATCACCAGTAACTACTACTCCTCTGAAAAACCATTGAAACTTTACATTCAAGAGTGAATTTTAACAGTAATGACTGAACCACAGGACTCTTCAATATTTGGGTTGAAAGCTGGAACATCTCGTACTTTTCCAGAAGTAGATCAAGTTGCCAGTCAAGAGTATGGCTCCAAAGTCAGTCAGGATGCGAAAACCAACCACTGGGCCTGAGTTTTCGCATGTGTAAAATGGGAGAGCCGCAGCAATGACACTTTGGTAGTTGTGAGCATTAAATACAGAAAACCTTTAGTGTATGGCTTGGTCCACATGAAGTGTTAGTAATGCTGGCTCAGATTATTAATGAATAACTTTCACATTATTATAAACGGAAATCACTTAAACTTTCCCCAAAATGAGGATCTAGTTACAGCAGAGAATTTCATGAGAACGTCAAAGAGATAAAAAGGAAATTGCCACCAGTGGCTGAGCTGACGAGCCTTCCCACTCGCTCCCTCCCACGGGGCCAGGGCCCTGCCCCCAACCCTCTGCTGACCTGGGGACTGAGCAGCATGGGCCTCCCGCCCCCACAAACCCTGTGCTCTGCTTAACAGGCAAGAGCTACAGAATCCTTATGCCCTTCTCTTCTTCCCATTTCTTTATCACTAGCACTCCTTTGAGGGTGTATTTTCTAGTGAGCACTTCTTATATTTTTAAGTACAAACTAAGTTCCAGGAAGTCAGGGTCCTGAGTTCATTCATCAGTAAGGTAGTCACGAAGGCCTACTATGTGTCAGGCTCAGGCCTAGGCAGCCTTTCACGGAGCTGAAAGTCTAACAGGGTGGCATGAACTCTTAAAACTGATATTACTATAAAATATAAGGGCTAAATGGATCCCTGAAATGTGTCAGTATGACTTAGCACAAAGACTACATTTGTTATGGTTTCCTCTTAAGAAAGTTAAACAATTCATTAAATATATCATCTCCTCTGAGAATACATGATGCTGATATTTCTCAATTTTACCAAAGACCTCACCAGAAGAGTTTGTGTTCATCCAAAATTATTTTGCCTAAAAACCAGCCAAGAGCGTCTGGTAATCCACTTAGTGAGAAGTAAGAAGGGGTCTGCTGGGGTGATTAGGAGCAGGAGCAGGAGCTTTGCGCTTCTCAGGGAAAGGGAAGCACATGTTCCAAACCTTCTTCCTTAGCAGAGTGAGGGACTCCTTGATTTTATCAACCAGGTCCTCGCTCTTCCCCTCAAATTTCAGTCCAAGTTTCCACTGCTTGATCCAGCTGTATTTGCTTATGAGTTTTTCTGGTAACTGGAATATCAAGAAACAAAGAAATAAGCAATGTTAAACTTCCAAAAAGCGCATCACACAGTCCAAGCTGTAAGAAACCAGGAAGCCTACAAACCTACCTTCGTTTCCAGGATTAATCCCTGCAAACCTGTCACATGGGTTTAGAATAGATCACCTAAAGCTGGAAGTTAGGCTCTCAGAAAGTACCGCCTTCAGGAGGTCTGCTAGACCGAAATGGTGGTTTGGGTTGAGATACAAGGGCACAATCCACCCTGCGCAACCATGCTGGCCAGGAGCGGCACACAGCACTTGGTGAACATTTGTAAAGGAGCGTCCCACAGAAAGGAGTGTGTAAAGGAGTGTGGGCTCACTGGCAGCCTGCCTGGCACTCCCAGTGCCGGACTCTGGAAGGCGCTTCCAGGCATGTGAGATGGTCTGGGATGAGGTGAAAACCGGCTCCCTCCCTGATTCGGAAAATAAAACCTAATTTTGACATTAACACATACACTCAAAGTTTTAATAGCCAATGAAATATGCATATAGTTCAACTGCTTAATCAGTACAGTAAGATAAAATACAACCGAGAACAAGCAGCAGGGATTAAGGGGGCTGTGATGGCCTAGCTCATTAAAGCAGCAACAGCTGAACTAACACTGCCTGTTCCCCTTTTTTTCCTGGAGCATCTGTTACTTCCCCAATCACCAATGGAATGTGGAGTCTGAAAGGCAAGCTGGGGCACAACTCGACGGCTGACAGCATGGGGACTCAGGCGCTCCCACCAGCCCTGGGTGTGTCAGGAGAAAAATCTATATAATTAGGTTGGGAACAGACATGTCCTATCACTGCTATAAAATTTGGAAAGGAAAAAAAAAGTTTACCTCTAAGTCAAAAGATCATTAAACAATAATTCCTACACTATCCTATGTGGAGCCTGAGCTTGTTGAACAGTTATAAATAGTTTTAAATGAGACCATATGTTCAGTTCTTCTGGACCCTGAAGACCCTTTCATAAATTGTGGTTCCAGTTTTACCTTCTTAATTTAAAGCAATTATGTAAAGCAAAGGCGGTTTCAGCTCTGCAAAAAACAAAACCACAGGAGGAATGTGAATTCCTCTTCAGATTACCACAGTGACGCAGACCCACACTCCCTCACTCAGGGGGGATGGGCTGATCATGGTGACAAATGACCCCCCACCCAAGAGCCGCCCAGCTGCGTGCCGACATGGTCCTGCATTTCGCCAGCATGTGGGCAGCTCTGCTGCAAACCTTCGATTAGGTTTTCGGACCTCTCACCAGAACCTAAAATGCCCTCAAGTGGCAACAAGCTGAAATCACAACTGGGCACAGAGAAGTGCAAGTGAGCAGGAAATTCCTGGCTAAACAGTTGTGAGCTGGGACTCGAGTAAAGGGAAGCCCAGAAGACCATCTGAGCATCACGGGACACTGTGCAGGTATCTGAAAAGCAGGCACAGCACTCGACTGAATTACCTGGGAGATCCCAAATACCTAACTACACAGTTTACACCAGTGTGCTGACTGCATACGGGCTGATAAAATGGATAATCAAAGGGTGGACAAGTAGTATCTTCCACCCACTGGCATTGCTTTTGCACTTTGAGGGTATGTGATCCCTCATCCACCTAAGAGACCTCTAATTAGCTTAGGTGGCAACCAGTTTTCTCTAACAGTCCTCTTTATTTTAGGCCCCTTCAACTTCCAATACCCCAGTTCCCTCAATTGTTCCCAAAAGGAGGTGACTCGTCTTGGTCACACTCCCGTCTGTCCGGAGCACGCAGACACAGAGCTGCGCTTGCTCCTCGAGACAGGCGCTTACAGCCCAGTTCAAGGTGGGACCGCCACTGCGCTTCAGAAGCGTTCCTTTAAAACAAGCCGCCCCGCCACTGCTGGCCATCACACCGCAGGGGCTCTGACGGAAACTGCAGTCATTTAAGATCCCGATGCCTTTTTTTGCCTCCTCACAAATTGCTGATGAGGCAGAGTTCCCACAGCTAACACTTTGGGTTTTGTTTTTGATTTTTTTAAAAAATACAAGGACAAGACTTCTAATTTTCTTCCAATTAATATCATATTGTCGACTCTGTTCAATCCAAACTCTTTTGGGCTCTTCTATCATCCAATCTATTATGGGAACTCATCTGATGTGTGTCATGAACATATGTCACAATGACACATGATATCCTGGGGTCTCACTACCACAAAGAGGATTAAAACACTGAAAAAGGACTATCATGGGACACAGCCCCTGACCTTCACCGGGCACTCCCCCGCCGCCAGAAACCTCCCCCAGGGTGACATCAATCATCCCTCTTCTAGTGCTACTCATCATCCATCTACTAAGCAAATTCTCCTAACACTATGCAGAGGTACTAGTTTCTTGAATTGGTGCTAGAATCACAGAAATTTGCATCATAAAACCCCAGAAGATTCAATATACCTGGGTCATACAGTATACAACCCATGTAATACAGATACCAACACTGAAGTCAAACTGCTCCTAAGTGCTTTTTACAAACTCTGAACACCTGCTCTCTAATTCGGCTCAATTGTTCAAATAAATTTTTTCGTTTTTCTCTTCCGGGAAATACTACCCTTGGTCATTTTACTATGCAAAATCACCCAACCACACAAAACCAAATGATCCCACACGCTGACGTCACATTGCAGAGTACCAGCACGGAGCACGGGCAGAAAAGGGAAGTCTTTCTCACAAAAACGACTGGAAACATTGCGGACTCAAACCTGCAGCAGCAGCGTACCAGCGTGAGCTCCGGGTCCTGCAGCCAGGAGGGCAGCGCCGCCGGCTGGCTCATAGCCTGAAACAGCGTGGCCCTCAGCGCACAGTAATTATCTCCGCGGACTCGCCTTATGGACGTGAACTTCTGGGATACCTCTTCGTAGCCCTGGGTGAAAGCATCAAAGAATTCAACATGGTTGTTACAGACTTCAGGGAGAGTTTTAGTCCTGTGGAAAAATGTGCCCCGAGCCCTGAAAGACTGGAACCAAGACTGGCTGAGTCCTTCATGTAAGACATTCTAATTCCTCCTTTATTAATCAAAAGATATTAAGAAATGTTAATGCTAAACAAAATATTGACATATGTTGCAACACTCTAGAACATATAAAATAATACACCAAGTATTACTAAAACACTAACCACTCCCAAAGTTGGTATTATATGTCCCTTTCCAAGCAACTGGCACAACACTTACATACTGATAAATGATTTTCTGAAGGGTTTAATCAGTATTTAAGTTGACCCTAAACTCTTTAATGAAGAGACAGAAAAGGAGAGAGATGTACTAAATTTGTATCTCCATATGCACAACCCCTCCCCCAAATTTCCATGATACATTTTTAAAAGTCTACATACACCCTGGCCAGGTAGCTTGGTTGGCAAGAGTGTTGTCCTGATACGCCAAGGCTGCAGATTTGATCCCAAGTCAGGGCACATACACATGAAGCAACCAATGAATACATAAATAAGTAGAACAACAAATCAATCTCTCTTTAAATAAATAAATAAAAATTTTAAGTCTACATGCTAGGAGATATCTGGATTATTCTGTTACACTTTTTTTAAAAAGTGCATTTAACTGTTATTTTTGTTCAGTCTGTCAGTGAAAGGAGGAAATGAAAATGTTTAGTGACATGCTCATCCCTCAGAAACAGCCATCAAATTGGACCATTCCGAAGCGCACTCCAGAAAAGGACACCGTAAGTCCTAGTGACCTGGTCCCTGGCACCCCGATGACCCGGCACCGTGCGGCCAGACACTGCTCAACTTCCCTACTTTCCCCACTCACTCGCTTCCGTCTGTCCGTCCTCCTGCCTGTCCCGCTCCCCCTGGACACTCACCGGATACCCTGCTCCCTACCCTGGCACTTACACGAAGGACGGAGTGCCACTCCCACCCCGCAGACTGTCATCCGTGGGCTAGACCCTCATCAGTAGGTGTTTTCAAGGTTCACGTCACAGGACGATGTTCTCAGTAGCTATAAAGTCCTTCTTTGTAATAATAAAATTGTGGGAGTCCCATCTTTATGTAGTGGCCCAATCACTGTAACAGATGCAGTCTGTCAAGCAGACTCGTACCTGCCAATGAGCATCTCTCCCCTAGGGCGGGCCCCCGATTACACGGAATGTTCATGATGGCTAGTTCAATGGCAACTGCACCTCTCCAAACGCATAAATTGCTCACACTATTTCAGAGGTGAAGCAAACTTTTAAAATTAAATTTGGATTCACACATCCCTCCAAAAGAATATCCAAAACAAAAACAGACAGATAAATAAGGACAAAAGACAGAACTGAGCTCCACGCTGTTATGAGGCCCTGAGATGCTCTAATTGCTGCCACAGGTCCTGCTGGGACATTTCTCTAACTGATGGGCCTTTGATTATTTGGTCACTTTTTGAAGAGTCCAAACACAGGACCAAATCTTTCTCTTGAAATAAAGTGACAGAAATAATTTCAGCATGAGTCCCAAAATACAGAATATTTGGATAACTTAGGAGTCATCTTCAGTTATGGAGCTTTAAGTGTCAGTCGTTGAAACAACAGATCCTTTAAAAAGACTGGGGTCATAAAATAAAACTGTAAGTCTGTGAAAGCTTTTATGAGGAATATGAGAAAACACAGGCATACCTCGGAGATGTTGCAGGTTCAGTTCCAGGCCACCACAACAAAGTGATTATCTCAAAAAGCGAGTCACACGAATATTTTGGTTTCCCAGTGCATATAAATCTTTACACTATACCGAATATATTAAGTGTGCTACACAACATTATGTCTAAAAAAGCAATGTACTTACCTTAATTTTTTAAAAAAACACAAATTAGTAGTTACAAAATAGTTATAGGGATGTAAAGTACAGCATAGGGAATATAGTCAATAATACTGTAAAATTATGTATGGTGCCAGCTGGGTACAGGAAATATCATGAGAAACACTTTGTGAAGTCCATGATTGTCCAACCACTATGCTATACACGCAAAACTAATACAAAATAATACTGAATTATACTGTAATTGAAAATTTAAAATTTTTAAAACACAATGGAAAGAAAACCATTTTATTGCTAAAAAAAAAAACAAACAAAACGCTAACCATCATCTGGGCCTGCTAGAAAAATGGCATCAATACACTGGCGTGATGCAGGGTTGCCATAAAGAGTCAATTTGTAAAAAAATGCAATAATCCAAAGCACAACAAAATGAGGCATGCTGTGTAGCTCAGAAACCTGGCCTACTGGTTACCTAGTTTGAAACCGGGGTGAAGGCTGTTGGAAAATCTATGAGCAGCCGATTTACATATTCAGCAGATGGCCTCACAAATCTAAATGTTCTTAACCTCTGGCAGGAACTGAGAGTCCCTGGTATTTCATAACTGGGTTCTCTAACAAGGGACAAAGACACGAAGAGCCTAGAGTCCAGACGTGCAGCAAGCAGAACCAACATTTGCTCTCAGAGCTTGAAAAGTGGCAGCTCCACTTTGAGCAAGATCAGCCCACTTCCGGGCAGGCCGGGGCAGCTGAGGTGCCTGCTGAAAGATGTGTAATACGTTCTACAAAAACAAGCTGAGGAGAAGAACAAATGTATTCAAATATTTAAAATCCTAAACAATAGTTATAAACAAAAAACACATTAGAAAATTTCTACCAAATAAGATAGATCAATGTCTGTGCATCCAAATTTATAATGTAAACAAACCCAAGAGAAAATGAACAAAGGATATGACACAGAGTTTACAAGAGGTCGTGGAAGTGTTAGATTGAAACTGTCACTTTTAAAAATTACTGATTTGAGAGACAGAGAGAGAGAGGGAGAAACATCAATGGGAGAAACATCAATTGGTTTCCTATATGCGCCCTACTGAGGGATCGAACCTGCAACCCAGGTATGTGCCCTGACTGGAGATCAAACTCACAACTACTTGGTGTACTAGCCAATGCTCCAACCACCTGAACCTCCTGGCCAGGGCAAAGCTATCATTTTTGCAATTCAGAAAGGTCAAAAGGTAGCAATTTTGCATGGTTCCCACCACTAAGGAATAGTGGGTTCAGGGGGCATTCAAGGGCCACGAAGAAGGAGTGCCGCTCACCTGGCTGTGCAGTGGGAATGAGCCAAGGGATCTGACCTGAGCAATGACTCAGCCCAGTTACAATGGGACCGTGTCAAGGGAATCCCTAATGTCCCACAGCCTCAGAGACTACGTTAGGGTCACCAGCCCATGCAATGGCACTGGGAGAGGGCGGCTCCTGATGAAGGAAGACGTTCCACGCCCCTGTGTATAGGAAGTGCAGGGGGGCCCAGGCCCCTGAGGCTGGAGGGTATGAATCCCAGACCAGGTGGGGACAGCAGGGAAAGGAAACCTTTGACCTCACCTGGCCAGAAGGACATTCCCACATGACCCCAAGGGAATGGCTGGCCCAACTCTAAAGAACACAGTCATTTCTGTGATTTTCAAAGAAATCATGCCCCTGGAAAATCTGACACTGATTCTATTTTAATGCTGTGACTTGAAAAAAGTCCCTTATCTTTGGAATCTCTTTCCTCATCTCTAAATTCAGAGCACCAGTATTTACACAGTGTAACAGTAGTTTCATAATTATTAACATCTAAAAATATAAAAGGACACACTACGTAATTACCTATGATAGACTATTTGAAATACTTGAAATATGTGCATCTAGGCATCATACCTTTTTCATACATGTAGCTTTTTGCGTATTTCCCCTCCATTCTTTTTTGCAGTAGTCCATGATATCCATTTCAGGAGCTACACTTAATCTCGGTTCTGTTCAAGAGTCAAATAAAAGGGGAGAGGAGGAAATAATGAAACAAACCATAATCAGAACAATGGTACTGCTTTATGTGGAAATTACTTTTCTCTTACTTCATTCCAAAAAAAATCCAGGATCCCACTAATGCCTACCCCCTGGTCCCTACGGCCACCCCTCACTCCTAGCTAACTACAGAGGTCTCCCACCGGGTCCCACTTATCTCCACGTGGCAGCCAGACCAATGCATTTTAACCTAGGTCAGACGACACCCATCCCTTTTGGGTTCCGAGAGCTCCGGGGCCTCCCATCTCAGCTGGAGGGGAACTGATGCCCTTGCTATCTACAACGGCTCCGTGCCGGCCGTCGCTGCCTCTCCGGCCTTGGCTCCCCACTGCCAACTCCTGCTCCACCTGCAGCCTCCCCTGTACTCCTCCGCCACGCCTCGCTCCCTCCACAGAGCTGCTCCCACACTCCATTCCGGTCTCCGCTGTCCACCCCTGACACCCCTAGATCATAATATCACACATCTTCATGCTGTACTCCTTTTACACTTTTGTTTTTCTTCTCGGCACTGATCAATAGCCAACATACTTCTTTTTCTGTATCCCCCTGCCCGGACTCACCCCCACACCCACACCCACACCCACACAAGAACACAGTAAAACATGAGCTCTTTGAGGGAGGGGCTTGTTTTGTTTCCTGGCTGCGTCCTCAGCACTTGCAACTGCTTGGACACAGGTGTCCGTGAATGCTGTTTTGATCAATTAAATACGCTACAGTCTGAGTTATAAGAAAATACATTTAATGATTTATAATTAATTTTCACCATCCATTCTACAAAGAGTTAACATTTCTGTAACAAAACATATATTTGTTTTTATTAATTTATATCCTGCCCTGATCCCCAGAAACTACAAGTTATTAATAAGCTAAAAACTAATGGGGCTCTCAACATTAGCTGAACCACCGACCTCATGTGACTCTCAAACACCTCCCCCAAAATTAAAAACACAAATTATGATCAGATAAATGACATAGTAAGAAAATGGCCTTTGGACTTTCCTTGTTGTTTGGGGTTTGATTTGGTGGTGTATGTACATGCACGCATGCACATACCAGTATGTCTGTGTGTGTTTTAGGAAGAAAGGGAAGTAAATTCTCTAGCATATCTTGACTTCCTTTTTAAATTATTGAAGAAGTAAATGTTAGCAAAGAAATCAGGGCATAAACACAGAAGTACCTTACAACACATCCACGCCAGAGTAAGCTGTACATAAAATAATAGTATTATATTCAGCTCAATTCAACAAATATTTACTAAGTGTTAATATACATCAAGCACTGAGCTAGGAATATGAAAGCAACAAAGACCCAGATCCTGTCCTGAGTGGGTTTAGAGACTACGGAAGAAGAAAAGACACAGGCATTCACAAGCCAGTGTGTGATGGATGCTGAGGTGACTGACAAAGAAGCACAAAAGAGGAGCCTCTAAGCCCTTCTTGCAGTTCAGGTAAATATATTTTTTAAGTGTAAAATGTTAAGAACTGCCTATTTTTAAAAATCTCATGATGAATCCCTTCATAAAGAAAATAAACCTTGTATATAAAAGGGAAAAATAACACATAAATAGAAACACAGATGCATTTATCTGTGGCATTAAGTCAGGATTGGCTTAAAAGTACACAAGACCCCTGAACCATTAGAGAGACCACAAATTCCAACACTGCACAGCCAATCTTCAAATAAAGACAGATCGTTATTGAAATTCAAGAAACATTTTTTGAGTGCCTACTTAGTAGACAGAAGAGTTGCCTTGTATCTGCCCTTCCACTGACTTCCCTCCAAACCACAAGGAACTGCTAATACCCGGAGCCGAGGACACTTACTAGGCCATGTTCTCCCACCAGGCAGAGCAAGCTTCCTGCTCAGGAGGGGCCTCCCCGAAAGAAAAGTCCAGCTTTCTGCTCTCCTCGATTGCAGTCCTCATTCCTGCACATGCCAAGCTAAGACCTGGCCCTTGGGCAGCGCCAGCAGGCCTACCGCCTCAGGACTGAGGGACGAGGCAGGGGGCCTCACCGGGCCATAAGCTAGCCACAGCAACAATCCTGTGCCGAGTCAGCTGCAGGAGGCCAGGACAGTGAGCGGAGGGGCACACCCTGCACGGCTGCTGGCACCAGAGAGCACTTTAATTCCCACTCTACTGCTCTTTCTTGAAAGGAGGGCTCCAGCAGCCACTGCACGCCACCCTCTAGGCCGGGGGCTAGAGGCGCAGGGGCAGCTTAGAGTATACGACAGCTCCTTTCTTTATTTATTTGCAAACCACACGGACTCTATCAGGGAAGAACATTTCTATTGGTAAAAAGGGCAGGGCTGAGAAACAGAGTGGTAACCAGAAGATAAGTAAACAAAAAGGTCTGGTCCTTAACCACCATGTGGCAACAAAGACAAGGATTAGACCCTTGAAAGAAGAGAAACCAAAAATGAACCCCTCTAGAAAGCTGAGACTCAACAATTAACTATGAAAAAAGACCAGGTAAAACTGGAGGAAAGGGCAATAATTGTAAACCTTTTCTATAATGAACCAGACAGAAATTAACCTAGGCTTTGGGGGCCACAAAGTTTCTCTCACAAATACTCAGCTTTACCATGTACAAAAGCCACCATGGACAACATGTAAACCAAGAAGATCTAACAAAACTTTATTTACAAAACCAGGTGGCACATCAAATTTGGCTAGGGAGCCATATAGTATGCTGACCCCTGAAGAAGGTGAGAAAAACCTTTTCACTAACAAAAAGAAAACTTAGGAAAACTTTCTGCCCTGACCTGGGCTCTGACATGGAGGAGAGGTCATTTCCCCTGAGAATCCACACCCACAGGCTGGCTCTCACACAGGGACAGGGCATGAATTCAGACCAGCCACAAAACCCTGGAAACACAGGTCTAGAAATTCACATAAAGTGGGCCAAGGGAGGTGACCTCTGGGTGCATGGCAGAAACAAGGCCAAATTCTCTTGTACTCAAGCCGAGTTGCAAACATTCTATATAGATAGGCAAGAGCTGAGCGTACAATTCCAACTTCGAAGAAACAAGAAATAAGCAAAAAATATTATAGCAATTGGCATAATTAGACCCACCAGGATTTTCAGAAAATGGAATCAGCAGACCCAGAAGAGCATGTTTAAAATTCTTAAAGAAATAAACAAAAAATAAAATAAATAACTTGAGCAAAGAACAATAAACTATCAAAAATGACCAGGCAAACTTGGGGGATGGAAAAAGAACATTTCCAAAAAAAGAAAGAAAAAACAGATCTGAATAAACTGTCCAGAATGCAACAGAGCCTGCAAGATAAAAAAATATATATGAAAGCATGTGTAACTGGGAGCCTCGGATGACTGAATGAGGGCTGGCAAACATCTACTTAGAGTTCTAGAAGGAGTACATACAGAGAACTGGAAAAAGACGATGTTCATGAAGATAATGGCTGAGAATTCTCTCGAACTGATGAGAATTAGGCATCCAGGAATGCAAACAGGAAAAAAAAAAACTCAAGCAATCTGTTTAAATAAAATAAATCCACACTCAAGAGATACCAAGGCCAAACCTCTAAACAAAGAAAAGAGGGAAAAGACAGACTATCTACCAAGGACTAGTCTGACTGCAGTATTTTAACTACAACAGAAACCAGAAGACAACACAATAAAATCTTCAAAAAGATTAGAGAAAACAACTATTCATCTGTAGTTATTCAAGAAATAAAGTGAAATAAAGACATTTTCAAACAGAGCTTCCCATCCACAGACCCATACTGAGGCACTTTCAAAGGATGTTATTTCAGGGAGGCAATGAATGAACCCCAAGGGTTAACATGCAAGAAAAAACATAAATGGGTTCATTTTAATCTCAGACTAATACTGGAAGTGACAAGGCCCACTGAAAAGCTAAAATGCCCACATAGGGCTATAATGGTGGACAGAAAGGAATCACAACAGAGCCTTCAGAGGGAAAAACGAAGCGAGAGGCATCTGCAAACACAGCAGGAATACACAGGAGCAAGATTTCCTCCTCAGGAATATGACTAATAAGAACTCCGCATCAGAACTGAATTTTGTGCAGCCACAGCAATGGAAACCAAGGGTCCTCTGCCCTTATATGGAGGACCAGAACAGTGTCGTGCAGAAGCACACTTGACTGACCACTACAAAGAACATTTCCCATGGCCAGCGAGGAGTTCCAAGTCCTTGTTGAGAAAGACTTGAAATTATCAACAAAACTCCACTTTGTATCATTTCTTCCTAATTACACATAGAGTAATACTTTTTGTTAACCATAAAGTAAACAGAAGCTAGTAGCTAGTTCTCAAAACAAACCAGTAGAACACACAGGTTACCCAGGTAGTAAGAGAGAAAATGGCACCTGCGCATCATCTATGCTGTAGCCCTAAACGGAAGCTTCCCCACTCTGCTCCTGCACAAGGCTCACCAGGCTAGCTGGGGAAGTACGGAGGCACTGCACACGCAGCCCTGCCGGCCAGCCGGCCGGCCGGCCAACAACCAAGGGGGCCAGGAAGTAACGCCCCGCCTTAGCAGCGTTGATGGGTCAAAGGGCCCTGTTGGAATACAGAGGGCAGGCATGACAGGGCAGAAACATGGACACAACACTGTGAAACGATGAGAGAGTTAATGTTCCCAATCCCAGGACCGTTCTTTCTTACAAGTCAATCAAATTCACATGGTCATGTGATGCAAACTAACTCGTTCCATTTCATGAAAGCTGCATTGTAGATACAGACTTTCCCTCCAAGAATGTAAGGAAATCAGAAACTAAGAGAAGGTGGTGTCAAGAGATTAAACAAATTTGCACAGATGTGAAAATGATATGAATGTAAAGAACATGGGGAAAAGAGTAATACTTTCATTAAAATGATAAAAACCTCAGGAAATAGCATTCACCAAACTGACTTCAGCTAAATGAATAATCACTTGCAGATAAGACCATATGCATGTTTCACAGGAAATACATCTTAATATTTTATGAGAATGAATATACTGATTTAACAGCATTTTATAACACAAATGGTAAGAACTCTATATATAAAACAATTCCAAACATACCTGATAACCCTCTTTCATGTATAAGTAATTCTTTCTCCCTTTCTATTTCATCCGCAGCACGATACATGTCCTCCTCTCTGAAATTACACCAAATGAGACATTTCAAAAAAATTGTTGCATTGACATCTTCCCTCTTATCACAATGTGCAGGTGCTTAAAAAAATGGTAAGATATTTAAAGTTTAATTTGTTTCATATTACATAATGACAATCTGATAAAATATGGGTCTTTCATCTTAGATGCTCATGTTCCTATCATTCCACTTCAGTGTCTTACTTTAAATGAGACCTTTTACATCACTCCATCTGCTACCAGGCTCTGGGGCCATTTTAATTGTAAGGCCTATTCATGCCTCATTTATATATGTAAGGATCTTAGCATGTGTCATATCAGTGAAGCAGTGTCACATCAGTGAAGCAGTGTCACAATTCTATCAAGTTCCTAGAACAGATATAGTGCTATTAAAAATATTTATATAGGAATGCCAGCCAATGGCACACTATAATGTCACAAGCAAACTTGACAATAGCTATTCTAAAAGCAATAGGCAAGCATCAATTATTACAAGTCCCCAAACCTAAAAAAAAAACCTCCCAAGGCTTCTCCTGATCCCTGACCCCCATATTCCAGCAGCCACCTATGTCTGCTGAGCATATCCCTAGTGTCCCACATACTTTTACTGCTACTACTGCCGCTGACTTGGTACTTACAGAATAGCTTCCTAAAGAGTCTCTAGTCTCACTTAGTGAACTAACAAGAACCTATTAAGTGACAGAAAGGGAGAAAGCTCCACAGGGTGCTAGACAATCATGAAGAAAGGGACTTCTGGTTTTAGGATGCCTTCTTTCCCTCAACACACACCACAACACGACAATGATGGGAAACAGAAGCACCATCTTCGCTGAAAGCACAAGATGTGTGAAAGTCCAAAACTGGACAAAGGAGTAGTAAGTAAATGATGGAGCACAGGGAAGCCTCGCTGCCTATGGAAGGGCATCTGCCGAAATGAAGACCAGTAAACGCTGCAGATCCCCAGAAAGACTTAGGAAGTGGAGGTGCCCAGTACTTCGGAAGGTACGGGAGACACCCAGAGCTCAAAACAAGGAAACTGGCTGATGTAAACGTAGTCCTTATTCTCCCGATGACAGCACACCCTCATCCTCACACAAGATGGGAGGCTCCAGGCACAATGAAACACAAGAAGGCGTTAATAGCATCAATATACAATAAGGAATTAAGTGAACAACTGAAATACTCCCATCCCCAATTCCCTTAGCTCCCCCCACCCCTATCCCATTCCTTGTCTATAACCTAGTAAAACTGGGGAAAAGAGGAAGGGGTGAGAGGAAGAGAGAGAGACAGATAAAGAACAGGTGCTGAGAGAGGTGGGGAACCCAACATACCTGCCCCTCCCCACTCCACTGAAACCCTTCAATGGCTCCCAAATAAGCAGGAAAGTCTAAAACCTGGACCTAACCCATCAGTCTAGCCAGTATTCCGTGACTTCCCTACACACACCCATACCGGTCCAAGGTTTCACAGCCTTGAACTTTCACATCTGTGGTTGGCTCTGCCTATCCCCTCTCCCTGATGGGCACGGGGCCTAACACACCAGGACACGGGCTATGTGGTGACCCTGCTGTAGAGTTCCGGGGCTGGACAGGGACTCCGAGTTAGAAGGTCAGGGCTTGACCGCTCCTCACACCAGCCCTTATTAGCTGTATCTATGAGCATGGAACTGAAGTAGCTACCTACACCTCTCGGTGCCTAAATTTAACCACTGTAAAGGACTGTAAGAGCACCCACCTCAGAAGACTGTTGTGGGAAGTGACCCATGTAAAATACTTAGCACTCAATAGCATCAAAAAATAGCATCAAAAAAGTTAGCTATTCCTATGAATTTTCATACCGTATCCACTGGTACAAAGTATTAATGAACAATTTGCCCAAATACCATTTCTTATCCCTCTTTTCTCTCTAAAATAAAGGCGACAGTGCATGCATATTTTTTTTAATGCTCTGGGGTTGAGGGGTCATATTAGGGAAAAGGTACTTTCCATGGACTCTGGCTCCAGTCAGGTTTCAAGTAAAAGGTGTGAGGTCACCGTTGAAGCCTGTGCCAGAGTTGGAAGCAAAGAGAAACCAGATTCGCAGACACTATACATCAAACACCTAAAATAAAAAGTGACTAAACGTGTTAGTTCTCCATTCACTAATTCTATGACATTTTTCAGCTACCTTCCTAGCTTTATCAAATATGAGAGAAATTCTGACCCTATAAAACATACATTCAAGTGAGTCACCTTCAAAATATTATCAGAAGCATGTCTTTGGGCAAGTGCTTCCTAACCTTGGCCTCAGTTTTCTCATCTTCAAAATGAGATAACTGGACAAGATCTATATGGTCTACATCAGCAATTTTCAACCTTTTTCATCTCCTGGCACATATAAACTAATAACTAAAGTTCTGCGGAACACCAAAAAAGTGTGTTAGTTTTTGCTGCTCTGACAAAAAATAGATATAATTTTGATTCATTCATACCAGACAGCTACTGTTGTGTTAGCAGTTGTCTTTTTTATTTGACAATCTAAGGGGAAAGAGGTCAGTGCCCTGACTAAACTGTCAGGTATTGCATGTTTTAAAATCCTTGCGGCACACCGGTTAACAGTCGCTGACCTACACGATTCCTCTCCCAGTTCTTACTTCTAAAGGAGTAGGAATTTATTTATCAAACGTCCTACCTCCAGCAAATCCTGTGGCTATATATTGCATGCACATTTGGCTCTACTTTGTCTTCTTCCTTTTCAATCTACAAAATAACCAAAGCGCAACTACAACACCAGTGCCCAGATGGAGTTCTCCAAACAAACATTTCTCAGTACAGCCACAAGTACAAATTCCCACAAAGGCCAACGGGAGAGGAACGGAAAGAAATCAAAGGGAAAGAAATCAAAGGAAAGATAAAAACAGAAAATGAGACTACTAGAAGTTTAAAAAGGAGTGCTTTACCATATAAAAACGAAGCAAAACAGAAACTGATGAATGGGTCCCACAGTATATTCAAATTACTTTAGCCACAACTAGGTTTCTTTCAGAGCTTGTGCACAAATGTTTACTAACTTCCAGGGCCACCCAAAAAATTGTACTATGGCCTTTAAAGTCCACTGAAAAAATCATCCTAAAGGCGTATCTCCTTGGAGAGAAAATAAGTTTTAAGTTTTAGCAGTAAAGCTCAATATGGTAAGAAAAGAATATAGTTTACAGACAAAATGAGACAGTCATCCAACGTAAGAACAATCAACAAGAGAGACAGAGATATGAGAACAAGAAAAACTAAAATACTTCACTCAACAAACTTTGCTTTATCTTTCCTTTTTTCAAACCCTCACCAGATGATATGTTTATTGAATTTGAGAAAGGGAGAGAGAGAAACATCAATGTGAAAGAGAAACATTAATTGGTTGCCTCATGCATATGCCCTGGCAAGGGACAGAACTCCACAACCTACATATGTGCCCTAACTAACCGCGGATTAAACCCACAATCTTTTGGTGCATGGAACGACACTCCAAACAACTGAGCAACCCAGCCAGGGCGGCTTTAACTTTTTTAAGTATCAAAATATTAAAGCTGAAAAAACAACAAAGTAAAATTATATTTAAAGCTGTAAGTCTGAAACAGCTGGAGGTCTGAAGTTTTGTTATGGGAAAGGAAAACAGTGAAACGATGATAGGAAGGGGATATTAGATGGTAAAACATTACAGTTTCAGAAATTTGGCGATCTTTTGTAAGTGCCAAGTTGGGGTAGGGGTAGAGAATGTCCACCATTTGGCCGAAAAGAAGCCCACAGAGTTCAATGATCACCACAGCAAAGTTTCCTTCTACAAAACATACAAATACACAGAAAAGCAGTAAAGAAAGTAAGACAAAGTCATAAATATGACTTGATTTCTTGGGGACTGTGGCATGCGAGTCATACTCAATTACACTGTCAAGTTAAGTTTTAAAACCAAAGTGTTGGTAATTCCTCCTTGGAAATTTTTTAGTTTAGCAACATGTTATTTTAAAGCATGTATATTCAAACTCCCATTTTCTCTTAAACTAGAGGTAACAATATTTTATCTTAATATTAAGACAATATACACCACTGAGTAAATTACATGACACTGCATTCTTTTTTATTTTTTATTTGAGAGAGAGGGAAAGAGAAACATTGATTTGTTGTTCCACTTATTTATGCATTCATTCGTTGCTTCTTGTATGTGCCCTGACCAGAGATTGAACCTACAAGCTTGGCATATTAGGAGAGCGCTCTAATCAACTGAGCTACCCAGCCAGGGCAATGTTGCATTCTAAATTATAACCTTCCTCTTGCTCTATTCAAAGACCTGCATAACAGTGAATTTTTGAAAACTTAATTTAAAAATGCTTACTACATATAGACAAAAATCACTCTATTCCTAAGAACAAAAGCTAAGCTAAAAACACAGAACTCAATGAAGCAGAAGACATTTCTGTGAAGCCAATTTTTCAATTTGATAAAAGTAAAGATGTAATATGAAAAAAGTCAATGCTGCAAAGCTAACAAGACGGCATTTTAATCACTCACCATTATGAACATTTGCACCAACTTCCCCTTACTTGTCTAAAAAAAATTGAGTATGACTTTGTTCAGCTCTCTGGACTTGAACATTGTAGTTCATGCTTAACTGCAGCATTGGTGAGACAGTGTCAACCACTGTGACACCGATGTACCTTCCCACACAGGAAAAGCAAAGACCACTCAACCCAGCCTTTCTCCACCGCTTACCGGTTCTAGAGATGGTTGAACAACATACCAAATGCAGGAAAGTACCAGTACCCAGGCCAAAATTCCACCTCTCTTCTGAAATTGGACTTTCCATGACTGGCTCATGCTACTCCACGTGACTTCCAGAGGTATCTGGGGACAACCCAGAACCTTCAACAATAAGGTTTGATTCTCAGAGACATCCAAGCTCTAAACCCTGAAGCAGGCTCTATATGCAGGCTGGGGAAGGAGCAGAAGGGAGTAGCTGTTACTCCATCAAGCACAGATCCTAGGAGCTCCTCAAGTGTGAGGTGGATGGAAAAACACACTGGCACAATAGCGTATTTAGCAACATCCAGGAACAATGGTTTAACAATTAGTCGTGGTTCATAGACTTTTTGAGAATCCACAGCTTTCATGAGAATCTCAGCCCAGAAAAACATAAATACACATGAAATTTTGCCTTCAACTTCAGAGATGTTCCCCCCACCCACCCAGAGCCAGCCTATAGACCCCGGATTCAAATCCTGGCCCACCACCAGGCAGACAGAGAAGAGCCATGGAGTAGTCTCACTTCTCAATTTTCTAAACATGCCTGGCCTGGCCACCAACAATGTCTCAGGACCATCTTGGTCCTCAGGGTCTCTAGTATGGATTAACTTAGCTAAGAGCAAGAAGTGGACAAAGCATGAGTTTCAACTGTAGGAGTGGGGTGAGTAGAGGACAGAGTATAGGACACCTGCTGATACAAGCAATAAGGAAGCATCAAAAGAAGTCAACTTAATCTGGTCCAACCTAAGACATCTGTAAATGGGACCCTAAGTTATCTTGTGAGCCATCCTGAGGGCTTGTCGGGGGGGCCGGGGGCGGGGGGGCGGTGCCAGTCAACCACAGCTCTCAAATGAGCTAAGTAAGAAGTAAAGAAAGGAAGGAAGGCAGGGGAGATGGATGGATGGAGGGAAGATTTAGAAAGTAGCTTACGCATGTGGTTTTAAGTCATTTGTCTCCCTTGCAAAATACAGTGAGCCTAGTCCAAAGCAGCAATATTCAACCTTTTTCATATCATCGTACACATAACCAAATTACTAAAATTATGCAGCACACCAAAAAATACAGTTTTTGCTAATCTGACCAAAAAATTTATATAATTTTGATTCATTCACACCACATGGCTACTGTTGTGCTGGCTACTGCCATTTTTTTATTGGATAATCGAAGGGGAAAGCAGTCAGTGCCCATGACTAAATAGTCAGTTATTGCATGTTTTTTTGTTGTTGTTTTTAATCCTCACCCAAAGATATTTTTTATTATTGATTTTAGAAAGAGAGAAGGGGGGGGCGGAGAGTGAGAGAAAGAGAGGGAGAAACATCAATCCGTTGCCTCCTGTATGTGGCCTACACAGGGATCAAGTCCCTAGTCTAGGTAAGTGTCCCTGACTGGGAGTCGAACCCACAAACTTTTGGAGCATGGGATCATGCTCCAACCAACTGAGCCATCTGGCCAGGGCAGGTTATAAAACTTCTTGCAGCACACCAGTTGAAAATCACTAGTCTAAAGGAATCCATATCTTACAGCACTGCCTAGGAAATGATCAATCCCTTCCCATACCCATTGCCACACCCTTACCCTTCAAAGAGTCGGCCCAAATGATTAATGGTTGGTTACAAAGTTGGGCTATGGTTTGTATTCGTAATTACTGTCTATTGAATGCATTCAAAATGACTACAGGGTACTTCATCTGCAGTTTTATGGTGTTTCATATAATCAGGTGCAAATATTTTACTTAATTCCTGTGCAGGGCAAACCCAATTCTTTGGGTGAGAAGAACAGACTTGGCTCCAATGACAGAGAAACACAGTTTAAAAATAATTTTAGGTTGTAATTCAGGCAGTACATTATTTATTTAAATCTAAACCCAACTATTAGACTGCGTATTTCATCATGTAAGAACGGATGTGCACACATTATATTGCAAACTATAAAATAAGCAGTTTATATGATACAATACAGTTTCTCCAAAGAGAAATAGGCCTTACTGCCTATATAACAGGCAAGAAGGCTCCAAATGGAGAGGTTCAGAATTTGTTGACACCAGCCGTAATCTTCACCTCCTTTCCATTGCTCCCTCTTGTTCTTATGAGAGTTAAAGAAGAATAAGGTCATCAAAGACAAAGAAAGCAGGGGAAAAGGGAAATTAAGCTCTAAATACACTGCAAACTGAAACGTCTATTCCAGAAAATCTTAAATTTGCTGTCATAAATCATGTCCCTCTGCCTGCTTTGCTGAGGAAGTCAGAAAGAAATGGAAGGAGGGTCCCACCCAGGCACCAGGGAACTTGGTCCTGAAACCTACTCCCCGTGTCTCCCTGGTCAAATTGTACCTATCCATCTGCAACTCGGTTTCGTAAAGCGTAAAATGACAAATCTAGGCTGGTGTGTTTTAGATTCCTTTCAGCGCTAAGCCTATAATTCTGACAGCAGACGGAAGAGGCCACAAAACCTCTTCATCAAGGAGTGCTCCTTCCACACTGTGACCCATTTCCCCAGGTGCTCAAACTCTGGAAACCACATCCAGCAGGAAAAGTTGCCAAATAACTATGCATACTTTGAGAAACATCATTCTGGCGTCACAGTTTCTGCATCACCCATGGGGCATGAGACTGCTCAGGTGGAGGCTGAGCAGCAGCATCCAGGAGCCAGGACCCTCAGGTGGGGGCAGAAATGAAGTAGCAGTTAGGTGGGGCATGGCTGTGAGGGGGGAGGGGCAGAAGCAGAAGGTGCTCCCCTTACTTTACAGGCTGGAGTCTGAGGTAGGTCTCCATCTTTCATAGCAAAATTGATGCCACAGGTCACATCAGCTCCCACATGGGTCTGCTCGGTGGTTTCGATTAAAATATAAAATAAAATGCTGCTATTTAAAAATCAGGACATTGCATACAAAAGAGACAGCTGGATTTTCTTGAAATACAGAAAAGCCTGCCACTAAAAGCTGAAACTTAGCAGACCTAACCTGAACAGAGATGGGCCCTGCTTTCCAGGAACAACTATCCAGCTTTACTCAGGTTACCTGTTTCACACCTGGGGGCAGGAGTTTGCGATCCCCTACTCTAAATAATTCCTGGTGGCCATTAAGTGTGGATAATGACATCGGAAAGGGCTTGGGTGCTCAATAAATGAGAATGCCATAGCCCACAGTAAAGAAGAATGCAAAGGAGAATTATTATAATACGCTATCTGCATAGCAGACCTGCAATGGACCCCTTTTAAGGAAATGCAAAGCTTAAAAAAAAAAGCGCATTTAAACACGCCTTAAAATTCAACTTCCCAGCCAACTAAGCTGTCAAACTGGTTATCTGAGTACTTTCCTCAACCTTGGAACTCAAAGGCATTTATCTGTGCCTAGAACTTGGAAAGTGTAGAAAAGTTTCAGTCTTCAAGTTTATGTTCTGCTTCCACACCCACCCCCTTGCAGAAACTATAAAGGCTTCCGATTTATGCTGCCTTCTTCACAGTTCTGCAAGGAACTGAGCTAACCGGCATGGCACGGCCTTCCGTATTTAACATTAAAGGGGGAGTGGGGATATCTGGTGAAGTCGTTAACAAGCAAAACAGAATTGGGTCAGACTCCGTCCAAATCTATCCAACAGGTGGGCCGTTCATCAAGCGGCGACTTGCCTTACAAGAACACACATGTCGCGTGGCTCAATTTCCCTACCCAACTGAAGGGAAAATCCACTGGGTATCAGTTATAATACGCTTCTCGGTTTTGTTTCCCAAGCTGCCGGAGCATTCATTTAGAGTTATGGAGAGAGCCAAAAAAGTGGGGAAGAGGCACCAGGTAACATAATCGTGAGAGGGACCTTCGGGAAAAACATTTGTACTCAGACACTGGACACAAGTGTCTTTAAGCTCCTCTCTGTCCCTGACTGCCTTCTTTAGAATCGATGGTACAAAGGAACCTCCACCAGCTACTCCCTAGCCTATCCCAAGCCCAGGCTTCCAGAGGGGACTGAGCCCGGCGCCCCTCTGCCACCCCCGCAGCGCTCCGCAACTCACTGCTCAGCCGGGCCCCGCACCACGGCTCTGGCGAGGCCCGGGGACGCGGCCCCCGCCTCCCGCGCCAGCTTCTCGGCACAGCTTGAACCTGGCCACGCTCCAGGCTGGGGCATGGTCCCTCGACTCATGGGGCCGCCCGCGATGGCAGGAGGTCAGCGCCTCCGAACGATCCGGGGCCCCTCCTATGAGGGCACCAGGCAGTGGCAGCCGCCGCCGCCTGCTGCCCGCCGGCTTCCGAGAGCGCTCGGAGCGCTTCCGCGCGCGTCACCGATGCCCGCCCCGCGGCCTCTGACCCTCACCGAGGGGGCGCGGCCCGCGAGGGCCGGGTGTCCAGGGACGCGTAGCTTGCGCATGCGCCTGCGCCGGCTGTGGGCGTAGAGACGTAAGGCACCGCAGGGCCACTGCGCATGCTCCGCCTCTTCGAGCTGTTCGCCCGAAGTTTTAGTGCTCCATACTCGGTGTCACGGGCATCCTGGGGTGTTAGAGGAGGGAAGGGCTGGATGTGCGGCACACGTCTTCAATTAGGAGAAGCAGGAAAACCAGGCCCGGAGTGTGAAGGGCGCTAACATGTTTGGTCACCTTTCCAGTGTCACTGTGGACTTCGAGCGCCGCTCTATGCCGACCCTTCTCAACTCTAAAGAGAGGATGTGGGCAGACTGAGTAATGCGTGGCTTGCCTGGCTTTCCTTAACTGACAATTCCGTCACGATCCGGCTCTGTCCCCGAGCCCCTACGCAACCGAACCCGGAGGGCTTTGTCCTTCAGTGGGGCGTCAGTCTTGCCGCGTTGGGGCTGGGAGTTCCAGTCCCGCCCCTCCGTGACGGCGGGAAGGGCGAATCTGTTCCACTGAACAGTTGAGCAAATGCAGCAGAGGGTGTTCTTGAACTGTATTCTTTCAGACAGAAATTTTGATTTAAGAGGTACAAGAGCGAAGTGAAAATATTAACAGACTTAGAAGATCTCAGAGTGAAATGATTCATTTCTGGGAAGGGAATAGAGTAACCTCTAAATATGAGCAGCTGTAATGGGTGCAAGAGCCATTACCAAGCAAACAGTGCAGAATCGGTGTAGAGTAGGAGGGAAGGACATGACAGTTAAGAAACCTGCAAGTATTCAGGGTCAAAACAAGTAGGATTTTTTTTTTTTTTTTTGAAAGATGAAACTGGAAGAAGGCTATTGGAGACCAGAACGTGAAAAGCAGCCACCGTAGGCTAACTAGGGAGCTTATACTTGATCTTTGTTGAAAGACAGGAAAGATCATTTTGGAAGATCGCTTTGTAGTTAGAGAAAAGATTGGAAAAGGGCAAGACCGGGAGACCGGCTTAGGGAGACTGCATAAATGGTAGTGGGCACCAAAGGGAGAAACTAGATGGAAAGAATATTTGCATTTCAAGGCAAAGAACTATGGGGTTTTTTCCCTTTTACTTGAAATTGTAATAAACGCCCATGCTTAAAAACTCAGAAGAAAAGAATATATGAATTATATTTCTCATGGCTATTAAAGGTGTAGGATTATATTGGGTTGAATAGTGTCCCCCAAAACTCATATCCACCTGGAACCTCAATGTGACTTTGGAAATAGGGTCTTTGCATATTTAATCAAGTAAGATCAGGTCATGCTGGATTAGTCTGGGCCTTAAATCTAATGATTGGTGTCCTTAGCAGAGGATGCAGAGATATATAGACACAGAGGAAATAAAGACAAGTAGAGACGGAAACAGATTGAATGAGGTAACTACAAGCCAAGAAATGCCAGGAGCCAGTAGGAGCTAGGAAAAGGCAAGGAAAGTTTATTCCAAAGAAACACAGCCCTGCTGACAACTTGATTTCAGATAGCTAGTCTCCAAAACTGCAAGAGAATAAATTTCTGTTGTTTTAAGCCATTCAGTTTGTGGCACTTTGCTATAGCATCCCTAGGAAACTAATACGGTGATCAAGATGAAGGATTGTAAAGTGCTATTAGACTGAATTTGTAACTCTTTTCATCACTTGATTTCCAACCACCCAAGAGTGTCTACATTAAAGGAAGTGCCAGAATTGCCTAAGATACTGTAAAGGAATCTATTCAAAGTCATAGGGACATTGGAATATCAGAGTGCATCTTTTATGTAAGACCTGCTCACCCACCCCAGGAGGGTTCAGAGGACATTACCTTTCACCATAACTGTGAGAAATAAACTTGTGAGGGAAGCCCCAAAATCCTCGAAGAAAAATGCAGTTGCTCTTGTCTGGAGTCAGATATATCTTAAAGTGGAAACTGCTACCATCAAACTGGGATTCCTAAAAACAGTGGGGATTATGAGACCCCAGGCTGGCATGAACCAAGAGGTTACTTAACTGCCAAAAACCAAGTGGGTGTGGTCACTGTAATGGACAGCTGAACTAAAACAGTAATCAGAAATGTCTTACTTGCAGTTTCTAGACTTGAGTCAGTTTATACACACAGAACTCTTTGCATGAAGTGGAGGCACATCCTCTTGAGGAAGTACCTTCCTACATTGCCAAAAATGTATATTGTTCTTATTGTCCCCAGCCTTCCCCAGAGGGTCCTATGGCCATCTACCAGCACAACTATGCATTGGGGGAAAAGAACTAGACAGACTTTGGAGGGATTAGTAGACAATGGCTATAATCTGATACTAATTCAAGGAAACTCAAAACATCATTGTGTCTACCTATCAGAGTAGGGGCTTACGGAGGTCAAGAGCTTGATGGGGTTTTAGCTCAGGTTCATCTCACATTAGTCCCAGTGGGTGTCTGAACACATACCATGGTTATTTCCCCGGCTCCAAAATGTATGATTAAAATAGCCATGCTCAGCACCTAGCAGAATCCCCACATTGGTTCCCAAACCTGCAAAGTGAAGGCTGTTATGGTAGGAAAGGCTGAACAGAAGCCACTAGAACTGTTTCTATGTATAAAAATATAAACCAGAAGCAATACCACATTCTTGGAGGAATAGTAAAGACTGACGCCACTATCTAGGACTTGAAAGTCGCAGAGGTTGCGCTACCCACCTCACCCATTTTCAGCTCACCTATTTGTCATGTTCAGAAGGGAGCTGGATCCTGGATAATGGCAGTGGATTTTCGTAAATCTAATTATGTGGTGATTCCAGTTGCACTGCTTTTCCAGATGTGGTTTCTTGAGCAAATCGACATATTTCCTGGTACCCGGTACACAGCTATTGATCTGGCAAATGCTTTTTTTCCTCTATACTTGTTGAAAAAGACTGCCAGAAGGAACTTAATTCAACTGGAAAGGCCAGCAATACATTCTCACTGTTCCAGCACAGTATAGAGCCAGTCTTCAGTCCTGCGTCATAATTTAATCCACAGGGATCTCCATTCCTTTCCTCTTTCTCCTCCTCAGAATATCACACTGCTCCATTATATTGGCAATGATATGCTGATTTGTCCTGGTACATATGAAGTAGAAATTACTGTACATACATTGGTAAGATATTTTCATACCAGAGGATGGGGAATAAATCCCCTAAAATTCCCGCGCCTCCTAACTCAGTGACATTTCTAGGGGTCCAATGGTGTGGGGTATATCAAGGAAAAGAATAAGTTGTTCGATCCGGCCCCTCCTATTTATTAAAAAGAGGCACAACAGCTAGTGAGAGAAGAGAAAGCTGCAACATCTCCAGGCTACTCTGCCACGTGAGTCATATAATCCAGCAGATTTAATGGTGCTTCAAGTGTCAGTGGCACAAAGAGCTGCTATTTTTAGATTGTGGCAAGCACCTATAAATGAATCACAATGCAAGCCCTTGGCACTTTTGAGCAAAGCCCTGCTGGCATCTGTGGATAACTCCTCTACTTGTGAGAAACAGCTTTTGGCTTGCTACTGGACCACAGGGGATGCTGAATGCTTACCCATAAACTCCCAACTTACCATGCGACCCAAGCTGAGTGAAATACCATGTTAGTAGATCGTAACCTTGATGTGATCTGATGAAAATGGCACTGCTCTTCTATGATCTTCTCAAAAAGCATAACCCCAGTATAGGTATGAGAAAAACATCAGACAAAGTACACATTCCATTCAAGAAGCATCCTAAAAAATGCTTGATTAGCCTCTTCAAAACTGTGAAGGTCATCAAAAACAAAAGAAGTCTGAGAAACTACCACATGCAAGATGAGCCTAAGAAGACATGACAACTAAATGTATTGTGATGTCCTGGATGGGATCCTGGAGCAGAAAAAGGTATTAGGTTAAAAGAAGTCTGAATAAACTATTGACTTCAGTTAATAATAATGTGCCAGTATTTGTTATTGACTGTAATAAATGAACCATATTAATGTAAGATGTTAATAATAGAGGAAACTGGGTGCAGGGTACACAGGAGCTCTGTACTATCTCCTGCATTTTTCTGTAAATCTAAAACTATTAAGAAAAAAATAAAGCCTATCAGGAGAAGAACAAACTCAAATGGCCACGGAACAGTGTTAAACCAAGACTTTCCAAAATAATGAAAATCTAGTTATACTGTTCTGGTTTTGAACTTCAATGGAAAGTTTTAAATTTAAATGTTACTTATTTCATCTTTAATTTTTTTTAAATTTCTGTTGTGAATATGTTTTACTGCATATATAATACAGAAATAAATGCACAGGTATTTGTGTACATTTTAATATATATATTGAGATATATGAACAATTTTAATTAACAGCACAAAAATAAATTATTAGATAGCAAATATAGTAAACTAAATAAGCCTAAAACTAAATTAGGGTTTCTTAGAGGAAATTGTGAGAAGCCCATGAACTATAATATAATGACAACAAATAGCCTATTCTTATGTCAAGAGGAATAAATAATAACAAAAAATCTATAAGCTTAAGTAACAGCCTATATAATAACATTGCTAGAGAACTTATAAATACAAACTAAAACTAAACTAAATAGAAATTAAGTTCTATTTAGTTTCCAGCTTCTTCTTAGGATTAAACATTCCTAAATTAGATAACTAAAAGTTATATGATATTATTATAATTTGTAAGTCAAAAGACTGGTTAACTTACATTTTGAATCATCTCAAATTAATATAGCTACTTCAAAGGCCTTGTGCAGAATAGACAATGCATGAAAAACCCTGAGTTCCTCTTCTTTGGAACTTCTAGGCCTTACTTGCAATTACTGCTCATGAAGAACACTGCTGAGCCATTAGTTTGTTTTGTTTGCTTGCTTGACTGATTGATTTTTAATTCTCTATAAGGAACTTAGTACAAGCTGGATGCGTATCTCCCTTT